GATTAAACTTTATAATTTATTTCCTATTTTTTTCCGATCGTGTGGCTCGAATACACTTTTGTACTGTGCACTGTTCGGTTCCTAAACCTGAACAAAGAAGTAAAGTAGCGCGAGCTCTTTTCCAAATATGGCTTCAGTGGTAGCATGAAAAAACAAATTTAAATTTGATGACCTCATTACATATGGAATGCGACTGTAAGCGGCTAGAAAATCAGAAAAACTTTTGCAAAAAATATTTGTAATTTTTAAAAACAAAAAATTTTTTGAATTTTATAAAAAGAATTTTCATAAGTGATCAGCATAATATCTTATTTCAAATAAGCATACTTCACAAGCATACCAAGGACACATAAATATACCAAGGATGCGTTATTTTCTATTTCAGTTTTTCTGATTTCTCAAACTTTCTAACTTTATTTAAACTCCAATTTTTTAACTGAAGTGAATAATTTTTGTAAAAAATTTTACTAAAATATTTCTTATGAAATACCGCTCTTTACTAAAAAGACAGATTTATTAGTGCTTCTTAATGAAAACTCTACTTTCTGTAAAAATTGTTGTGTCCTCATAAAAGATAAAATTATCTAGGAAAATGGCAAAGAATTGTCCTTAAGTTCACGGACAAAAATCCCGCACTCTGCGCTGCTTTTCCTACTTTACTTCGCAATTTTCCTTGTATTGTTGTTTTTTTCTTCGCTCACACTTTTTCTAGTGTTTGTATTACTTTTGCACTGTTTCTGCTTTCCGGTGCCACTGCTTTTGTTAAACGGATTGGCGGAAAGTCCCTTTCAAGCCAAACGGTTTAATAAAAAATTTTTTTTTCAGAGAAGACCGAAACGCAAAAGCGTATGATCGCACCGGCAAGCCTGGTGCATTCCAGACTGGGTTTGCATAATGCCTGGTCGTTTTTCCGGTGAATGCTCATCTATTGAAAAACTGTAGATTTCCTGCCAAAGCAATTTGCATATTTTTTTAGAGCTTCCGTAAGCGAGATCCAAGCGCGTATGAGAGAAGATCTTAAAACGGGAGGGTGGCACATGTGGTGGGAATATGCTCCTAAAATTTCAGCCCCAGAGCTTTTCTGCTGCTGAGTTGAAAGTGGGTGACAAAGTTCACTCGCTTCCGAATGTACGCACATGAGCGACTTCCTGACAATATGTTTTTTTGCGCTATATCGCTGCACAACAAAAACGCGTGAAAACTGTGAAGCTGGTGATTGTAACAAAGTAACGTCGTGAGTTTCACTTCGATATTCTGGCTAAGTTTGGCCAAGTAGTGAGGATTTGCCCATTTAACCGCTAATTAAACTCGTATTCTACCAAGCTGTCGCACTTGTCTTTTTACTGTCCTAACGTTTCGCTTTCCGAATAATTGTAACTGTCCTCGTATTTTCTACTGTACTTGCACTTGAAAATTTTCCGTTTACTTTTCAATGCAGCTTCGCTGGCTTTCCTGGATTTCTTGCTCGGAATTCCACCATCCTGCTGAAGTGTCAATGATGAAGTATTCACGTACCTGCTCGCTGCAAGTATTTCCCTCTTCACTTTTGCAAAGCACAGAGGTTTCTTTTGCATGAATTTTATTTGTTAGATTCACTTTACCTCTCATCTGACACTTTTTTTTCTTTAACTGGTAACAAAGAATTCAAAAAATATTCTTCTATAAATCTGTTTATTAAAATTTTTGAAATATTAGGATCGGAGATGATGTCGTGAGATTAATGAGTAATGTGAGTGAAGTCTCCTGCCTTTCATCCCTTAGTTGTAGACGTAAAATAAAGAGAATACTTAGCTATGGCAAATCATCACCGCTTGAATGGGAATAATCAGTACAGGCTCCTATTCATGATGAATACAACAAGCATGTTTCCGGACAGGGAGATTAGAGCAAAAAAGAGAAGAAATTGGAAAGAAAGCAGACAAGAAATAACGAGAGAAAGTAAGAACCCAGGCTGAAACGCACCAGGCTAGCCGGTGCGATCATGCGTTTTTGCACAATACTTGAATTAGGTCAACTGCTGTCCCTTCACACCTACCTTATGTGCCTAATGTCGAAAATCATCGTAGATTTTGCATAAAAAGAAATAAACTATTCCCGTTTAGCGGTATTTTTTGAAAATAACTCAACTGTTC